TTAGTGTCCATGGCCTTTGACAGATTTGTGGCTATCCGCAACCCACTACACTATGCTTCCATCCTCACCCACAGCATCATTGGCAAGATTGGAATAGCTGTCCTCACCCGGGCCATCTGTGTCGTCTTCCCTGTGCCCTTCCTTATAAAGCGGCTGCCCTTTTGCCATTCCAACGTCTTGTCTCATTCATACTGTCTCCACCAAGATGCAATGCGGCTAGCCTGTGCCAGCACCCGTATCAACAGCCTCTATGGCCTCATCATAGTCATCTTCACATTGGGGCTAGATGCCCTCATCATTCTCTTTTCTTACGTGCTCATCCTGAAGACTGTGCTGGGCATCGCTTCCAGAGCTGAAAGGCTCAAAGCCCTCAACACCTGCCTGTCTCACATCTGTGCTGTTCTCCTCTTCTATGTTCCTCTCATTGGCGTCACCATGATCCACAGATTTGGGAAGCATTTATCACCAGTAGTGCACGTGCTCATGGCCAATATCTATCTGTTACTCCCCCCTGTACTAAACCCCGTTGTCTATAGTGTGAAGACTAAGCAGATACGAAGGCGGATCATCCGTGTATTCCAGAGGAGAAAGAACAGGACATAGGGAAATGGAATTAAATGTAAGATGCAGAAAAAGTAGCCTTCAGCCGTTATAATACAATGCAGTCAAATTATACACATCTGGTAAAATGCAAGGGTGGGCAAGGCTTGTGAGTAAAGATACAACACAGGTCATTCTTTGTCTGCATATATTCCATTTGGGGATGTATGCAATTTGATATCTAGCATCACATACAAAATCTGATTTAATTGACATCATAATTTTTCTTTGAAACAAATTGAGCATCAATGATGACCAATTATCACCTATTTATCCAGATAAAACTTATGAGTGTTTATTCATATACTGTTAAGTAATCTTTTTCTTTAATTATCAATTAAATAATAATTATGATAAGGATTGTAGAAGCCCTATAGCACTGATGAAAGGCTGCATTTCTGAGATAATTTTATTTTTAAATAGAGCGAAGAAAACTGTTACAGAATCAAATAGTATTTATTTTTGTTTGGTGTTTATTGGGTAGAGTGCCTAGGATAAAATTAAAACGGACACATCTGTGGTTACTTAATTTGTACCTTTTCTTTTAAGGGCTATCACTTCTTTACGGATTTATAACAGTTCTAATTTTCTGCCATATACTTAATAGGCTAATAGGTGTTCTGTCTTTACTCTTTTGACCCAGCGTGAAGTCTGTTTTGCTGTGCACTAGAGAATCCAGCAAAAAACTTTACCAAGTAAAATTACTGCTGGGCTTTGTATGAGGACAAGTGAAAACGTTCAGCACTGGGAAGAAGTTAAGAAAGCAGTGTACACATGTGGGGGGATGAGTATGTCAAAAGCAAAGTGTCTTTGCATTGATGCTAATACTTGCTTTAAGTGTTTTGTTAATCATTAAACAATCAAGTTGCTAGGGGGCGTTATTTACTCACTCAATAAATATACATTTAACTCTAATGAAATGCCAGTCATGATGCCAGACCCTGGAGATACAGAGAAAAATGCACCAATTTTCTGCTTGATCCCTGGCATATTTCTCTGTAAGGAAAGTCATACAAATTAAAAGTTAAGTAGGTATTAAATGACAATATCACATTTAATTTGGTAATACTAACTAATAATGCCAGTTGCCTTTATATATTATCTAAATTCTTCCAACAATCTTTGAGAGTAGACATTATGAGCATTTTACACACGGGGGAAATGAGATTTAGAGCAGTTCAGTAACTTGCTCAAAGCCTTACAGTTTCTAAGTGGCAGAATTTGATTCAAATTTAGATCTGTTGAAGTTATAAAGCCTGTGAATTGAGACTCCACCCATGTATTAGGATTTTCTAAGCTTACAAGCTAATTCCAGGGAGAGGGTAGGAACCAGTGATTCTCAGATAGAGATGCATGGACGATAAGCTAGTAATCAATATTGTGAAATCCTTAAGGAAGAGGTTCAGCTTGCCAGGCTAAAACTAGACAGAGAGTCAGATTAAGACTAAATCTGCACGATTGACACAAAATTTATATTTTCAATGGAAATTACTTGAATATTGTTGGTTTGTGCAGATGAAAATATCAGCCAAGGCCTCAATATTGATGCTATCCAAATAGAAAACATGACTCTCAAACAGGACATATTATCATCAATTGGTCTGCAAGGAGAAAATAATAGAACTTTTATTTGTATTTAAGTTTATCTCATCCTTCAAAAATGTTTATTTTCCTTAATGTGTTGTTATATGCATAAGATAGTAATATTGTAATGTCTGTATATAATTTTTGAATGAATAAAAATAAAATATAAATATATTAGAGAGCATCTTTTTGTTCCCTTATACAGACGCATAACCAAATTTTGAAAACTACCATATACTGAAGATAAAAGCCAGCCACCACAGAATATATTGACAGTGTTCACAAACTGTGATAACAGAGGCAATTAGCTCTGTACCCTTCAAATGCCATTATTTTTTCATTCTCTGATGGGACCATGAGGTGGCAAAATAAAAAATCTAAATTCTTTATGGGCAACCTACATACGTACTTCATATCCTCACTCTGCAATCCTTTCTCTAGCACTTTTGTCTCCATTGCTATATGAAAACCATGTTTTCCATGGCTTGTATCTATTTCTAATTAACAGATCAAATATTTCCCCTCAAATCTCCTGCAGCTTGATTTATTTAGATAAATTAAAAATATTTACAGTCTTTTGCTTGCTAATCTCGGAGCTAGAGTAATGACATGGTTTCAAATTGTGGCTGTGCCCACTTAACTAATATATGAAGTTGGCCAAGTAACATAAACCCTTTGTGCCTCAATGTGTTTTTCCAATTGAGAATAATTAATAATAATAATAATGGTAATAATAATACCAGCTGATATTTATTAAATACATTTTATTTCCAGGCCGTGGGCACAGCCTTACATGCATTGTTTTTTAATCTCTGTAACTTTATAAAATAACCAACCCTACCTAGATTTTGTAGATCAGGGCAATTAGCATTAATAAATTACGTATCTTGCCCAGATAACATAGATAATAAGTGACACATCCAGAATTTAAACCCAGGGGCATATGACACCTAAGCCCTTGCTCTCAATATATTCACTTATGGAGTTAATTCCAGAAGTAATGAAACCATGTCTAAAATATCAGTTATTCTGGTTATTTTTTAGTAGATGGTATTGTTATCAAACAGGTTCAGCTGCTTGGCTCAGGAGCCAATGATCAAGAAACAAGGGTTGATGGAAAGCAAAGTAGATCTATTCAAAATGCCGACATTCAGGGAAGATGGCAGACTATTGTCTCAGAGACCACCTTCCCCCTTCCTAGAACAGTCAGAGGTTTTATAGGTACACAAGAAGGAACAGAACAAAGGAAAGGGGGAGTTAGTCATGCTACTGTCCTGGTGTCTGGTTTGTTCTGTGATGGTTATCTCAAACCTGGTGGTAGGGGTGATTCATATGTCATGTGAATTGCAGCCTGATTGCAGGTGTCTGGATGGATGGCTGAATGCTGACTCAGTTTCTTGCAAGTTATTGTTCTGCTGATTAACAGATTGATGAGGTATGCGTGTAGCCTTGGGAAAGCAGACCAATTTAATTGGGCAGTGAGGGAGAGAAACACAGAAGAGGGGAAAAAAGCCACAAATGGAAAGTAAATCAAACTATAATTCAGTAAACCAAACTAGATTGCTAAATCCCTAAAAGTATACCATGACCCTTACAGTACTGCAGCTAGTACTACTACTGCTGATACTGCTGTTGCTGTGGCCATCATCATCTTCATCTTTAAAGGGTAAAAGTGAAAGTGACAGAAAGGGACATAGGGAAACCCACAAACTCCTTCACCAGAAAAATTGTTTCTGCCTTTATGTACTTAAGGCACCAAAGACAACAGCTATGAATACATTTCTATCTGTCTCTAAACTGTAGAGTATGATTTAGAAATTTTTGGCATAGATTAAATTTCAAGCATCGCATATGGGTGAAAACACCCAAGAACTGAAAGTTGTCAGAGACTTGTTCATCCCCTGAGGATACTGGTCAATTTATGCTGCATCTAAGGACATTTCCCTCAAGTCAAAAGAACAGTTTGAGACCTACCTAGCCTCTTAACAACAGGAATAGCTCTGGATTGCACTCCCTGCTCCAAATTCAGGACTGTGATTGTGTTGGCTAACTCTTAACAAGTGCCTCCAGGAGTGATAGGGCTCAACTCTCCCTGCATAGTGCAGAATATTTAAATGCTATATTATGCTTTATGATTTTGTTAAATGTTAAATTTTGTTTCTTATAGAATTAAAAAATAAAGCTTTTTTAATGAAACTATCTAAGATTAATTCAGTAAGGGCTGTTGAACCTGAAAGCAGTATTAAAATGGAAATACTCATTTCTTGCATGCATACTCTTGCTGAATTAATCTTAACCAACCTAGGGTCTGTACTAACAAACTTCTAAACTCCATACTCATTTGAGTAATAGATAATGACACTCACCACTCAAGTCACAAAGACTCTTTTATCATAGATTTTTAACAATCAAACAGTAAATTAGAAAAAGTCATTTGGACCATGTTAAGGGGTACAAATAGCTCAGTGTATACACGTGCCTTTGTTCTTTTTATTTCCTATACTTAGTTTGCTTGCAAGCAAAACCCATAATGATTCTTTAAACCTTTATTATGAGTGTCTACACCACTCAGCCTAACTCATTTTATCTAACTCCAACAACATAGATGATGTCCAACATTCTCCAGGAAATCTGCCTACCTGAGCCTTGACCAACAAATGAGTGGCTCTGTGCCTCATATCTTCATCTGGAAACAGTACATTACAGCCTCCCTCACAGGGATGCTATAATTATCAAATAAGATAACATGTAGAAGTCTCTGGCACTGTTTCTTCTACTTAATGGCCAATCTATAAATGTAAGTTCTCTTATTCTCTAACATTTGATATTTTTGAACACTTTTTATAGGTTCACAGCATTTCAAAGTTTATAAATAATTGTATTTATATGATTAAATTTAATTTTGTAACAATACTGGATGCCAAGTGATATCATTTCCATTTTCAAAATTAAAAATTGCAGTTATGAGAAGGTAAGAGAATACCCACTGTCACACAGGGAAGACCTAAAACTCACCCTTAATTTTTTATCCCAAATTATGCAACACAGTTGGCCCCTGCTCAATTGTATACATTTATATTCTTAATCCTAAAATCTGATCATTTTTCTGATTCATATATTATTTAATAATGTATTATCCCCAGGTGTTTTCTTATTATTTAATAAGCATAGTTCATTTTTTTCCCTATTAAGCCAATGGAGGTCATTCCTAACTCTTGAGCTAGAATGTTAAATTAAATCAATTTAATGAGATTTAATTTAAAAAGCATAAAACTAATAAACAATTTCTGTCCAAAAGCATTATTACAAAATGGAATTAGTGATATTCCCTGCCTTCAGCTGTTATATGCCAACTCATAAATGCAGGGCTACAGCACAGAACATTGAATGGCTCCCATTAATGTCACTCTTTCTGTACC